ACCAACCAACCGACCAACCAATCAACCGACCGACCGACCAACCAACCAACCGACCGACCGACTAACCAACCAACCAACCGACCGACCGACCAACCAACCAACCGACCGACTAACCAACCAACCAACCGACCGACCGACCAACCAACCAACCGACCGACTAACCAACCAACCTACCGACCGACCAACCAACCAATCAACCGACCAACCATTCAAGCACTACCTCTCAATGTGTGTCGCCACGTTAACGATCCCGATCCTCTTGGCTCCGTCCATTTGCATGTTTGACGATAATGTGGGAAAGAGTGAAATCACTGGCACTTTGTTCGTTGCCTCCGGTATTATCACCCTCGTTCAATCGTTCTTTGGTGTCAGGTTGGTCATTTTAATGTTCTTTGGTGTCAGGTTAGTCATTTTAATGTTCTTTGGCCGTGAAATACCTATGAATACCAACAAATACACACATACCTTCACAAACACTGACACGCACACAAACACACACACGCACACACACTCACACAGACTCCCCATAGTACAGGCAGGCACGTACGCCCTCCTAGTTCCAACCCTATCCTACCTCAGCCTACCCCAGTGGAAGTGCCCCGATAATATTGTGGATGTCATCGTTGGTGAGTGAATGAGTGAGTGAGTGAGTGAGTGAGTGAATGAGTGAGTGAGTGAGTGAGTGAGTGAGGCGATTGTTAACTTCATCACCATTATTTTCATCTTCGTCGTCTTCGTCATCGTCACCGACTTATCCATCATCATCATCATCGGCACTCTAACTGTAATTATTGTCACAATAAAACGTTTCACAGAATTCGGAAACAACGAAAGTACATCATCATCGTCACTGACGTCATCATCATCACCACTGACTCCTGCTGATTACATCATTTCCGGCAGTGATGAGCACAGAGAGATATGGAAAAATAGATTGAGAGAGGTAATAGTAGTAGAAGTAGCAGCCGCAGAAGTAGTAGTAGTAGTAGTTGTAGTAGTAGTAGTGGTAGTAGGGTAGTAGTAGCAGTAGTAGTAGTAGCTGTAATAGCCGACAACTTTACCGATATGATTTCAAACAAAACACGTTGTAAAGGTTATAAAAGTGAAATGTCCTTTAAACCAATTTTTTTTAAATCTTTTCCGCCAATCCATCTGACGAAGATTCAGGGCTGCATGGTGGTTGAGTTGTTGTCCATGATTTATCCATTCATTCATTCATTCATTCGCTCATTCATTCATTCATTCACTCCTCTCCCATCAAGATTCAGGGCTGCATAATGTTGGCGGCCATATTTGAGGTGTTGGTAGGAGGGAGTGGCTTGGTGGGGTGCATGATGAAGTTCATCGGCCCCCTCACCATCTGCCCCACGGTCACTCTCCTCGGACTCTCCCTCTTCAAATCAGCCCCACAGATGGCCTCCAAGCACTGGGGCATCGCCATTTTGTGAGTGTTCATTCGACCAATCAGTAATCAGTTTACTAATCAACTAACCAATCATCATTCAACCAACCAACCAACCAACCAATTATCATTCAACCAGCCAACTACCCAACCAATCATCATTCAACCAATCATCATTCAACCAACCAACCAATCATCATTCAACCAACCAACCAATCATCATTCAACCAACCAACCAACCAATCACCAACCAGTCAACCATCCAAATAACCATTCATCAAATTAAGTTTCACGATGAACAAACTTGTTTTTTTTGAGCTTACGAGGTCTGTTTGTTCATCTTAGATCAATATTCATAACAGAAATATCATTAATACATCATTCAAATTAGATCGATGTTGTTGATGGTGATGTTCTCGCAATACATGGGACG